CTGTCCTTGGAATTATTTTTCCTTCCAACTTTTTCAAATAATCTTCAGTCTTTTTCAATTTGTCTACGCCAGCTGTTGTTTGGGTTTCCATCTTTTACCCGATCCTTGTAAATTTCACGATATTATGCTATGTCTGGTAATACTTGTTACTGGTTTCCTCAACCTATGGCCTACCCATCTCCAGCTTTGTTTTCCGAAATTCTCGCTCCACTGTGGATCCCGTCTTTTCCCGTACTGGTGTGTTAGGTACTTTATCAAACCACTTCATGTATAATATTCGCGCTGGTCCCTATCGCCAGATACTGCACAATTTAATGTTATATATTCATCACATCCCATAATTAAAATAGGAATACATACACAATTTAAGAAGTATTGCTTTATTTATTCATATTGTTCATATCCATATTGTTTTGTCAATTTGTATTCCACATCGCAGTAAATAACTAGTCAAATCCTTTTGAAGCCAAGATATTGACGACCCTACCCACCTAAGCTGTAAAGCTAGAATTAAATCTGAGGTTTTTACCGTGACACCAGGTCCATTCTCCACAATCCTTAAATCAAAGGACAACACTTTTTTTCTTCTCCTTCCTGAAATTCCTTAACAACTCCACCGGCCTCGCTGATGGAAATTTAAATTCTAATTCCATCATCAAAGCGGGGTGGCCCGTGTTGGGCTGATGGGTTGGGCGGGGGGAGGCGGGGGGTTCTGTTTGATGGCCGGCGTTTGATCTCTGAGACCTCCCTCCAATCTTGCTGGTAATTCCCTACAACAACAGCCCCGGCTCTTGCAAGTGTCAGGTCCTGTCGGTCTCATCCTCTTAGGGTCTGGTCGCTATCTAGCGGCTGGACTGGTGGATGACCAATGTTATAACATTAGGAGTAGCAGTAGAAGCTTTGATATGTGGCTGTAACATCGGTAGTAGGTTGTGTCATCATGGCTTGAATGGCACTATCACATAAGTCACCTCGCCGTATCACCACCATCTTGTCACCGTATCACCACCAACATGTCACCGTATCACCACCATCATGTCACCGTATCACCACCATCATGTCACCGTATCACCACCAACATGTCACCGTATCACCACCAACATGTCACCGTATCACCACCATCATGTCACCGTATCACCACCATCATGTCACCGTATCACCACCAACATGTCACCGTCTCACCACCAACATGTCACCGTATCACCACCAACATGTCACCGTCTCACCACCAACATGTCACCGTATCACCACCAACATATCATCGTATCACCGCCAACATGTCACCGTATCACCACCAACATGTCACCGTATCACCACCAACATGTCACCGTATCACCACCAACATGACGCCGTATCACCACCAACATGTCACCGTATCACCACCATCATGTCACCGTATCACCACCAACATGTCATCGTATCACCACCAACATGTCACCGTATCACCACCAACATGTCACCGTATCACCACCAACATGTCATCGTATCACCACCACCATGTCACCGTATCACCACCAACATGTCACGGCATCACCACCAACATGTCACCGTATCACCACCAACATGTCACCGTATCACCACCATCATGTCACCGTATCACCACCAACATGTCACCGTATCACCACCAACATGTCACCGTATCACCACCATCATGTCACCGTATCACCACCAACATGTCACCGTATCACCACCAACATGTCACCGTATCACCACCAACATGTCACCGTATCACCACCAACATGTCACCGTATCACCACCAACTTGTCACCGTATCACCACTAACATGACGCCGTATCACCACCATCATGTCACCGTATCACCACCATCAGTATCACTGTGACATGACAGCCTCCATACATCCATGTCGCATCGTTTCTTTATTTATTTGATCACTACTCTGATATCTATACTAGATTGGCTGAGGTTACCACAGCATCGACTAATGTCACCCCTACTGTGGCTGCTGTGTCACCCCTACTGTGGCTAATGTCACCACTACAGTGGCTGATGTCACAACTACAGTGGCTAATGTCACCACTACAGTGGCTAATGTCACCACTACAGTGGCTAATGTCACCACTACAGTGGCTAATGTCACCACTACAGTGGCTAATGTCACCACTACTGTGGCTAATGTCACCACTACTGTGGCTGATGTCACCACTACTAGATACTCAGCTAGCCCTGTTGATAAACTACGTGACTGTATGAACTATAAACGACTCTGTCATTTAAAGCTACAAAACTGACTGCTGTAAGTAGTTAGACCAAGTAAACATTGCTGATCCTTTAATAAAGATCACCTATTGAGCTTACATGCTACAAACAAGCATGTACGTATGTGGAATATGCTGTATTCTTCCTGTGTAGTCCTCAAGATATTAACGATAGCTCAGAAACCATCTATCTGTTGGTGTCCGGCCCCACCCCAACCGTTCGATCATGCCCCCCCCCCCCCCAACTCCCCCAATTTCTCAAGGTGCCAGTACTTTGTTTACCCAACAAATCTATTTCGAAATGTAAACAACCCCACACCTCAGGCTGTGCTATTTTTAGCCCGGCTCGTGGGGCGCGCGCACGCGCTAGAATAATAACCGCAGACAGAAATGGGCTCAAGTTTAAATGACGTCATTTGGGTTAAAGATTTCTTCAGCATCTCGCTAGGTTTGAAATGATGCCATTCTATTTGTGTCTGTTTTCTCTAAATCTTTGACATATCTCCGCACTAAATACGGATACTTGGAGATTTGAAGTTTTAAAAGTTTAAATTTTTTACTTGATTAACCTCTAACTTGTATGGGCTCGATAGTGTGCGCCGTCAGTCTACGGGCAAAAGTACCTTATTCTCCCCTGGGGGTGCAAACGTGAACCACCCCATACTCCCCTGGGGGTGCAAACGTGAACCACCCCATACTCCCCTGGGGTGCCGATGTGAACCACCCCATACTCCCCTGGGGTGCCGATGTGAACCACCCCATACTCCCCTGGGGTGCCGGTGTGAACCACCCCATACTCCCCTGGGGTGCCGGTGTGAACCACCCCATACTCCCCTGGGGTGCCGGTGTGAACCCCCCGTACTCCACTGGGGTGCCGATGTGAACCACCCCATACTCCCCTGGGGTGCCGGTGTGAACCACCCCATACTCCCCTGGGGTGCCGGTGTGAACCACCCCATACTCCCCTGGGGTGCCGGTGTGAACCACCCCATACTCCCCTGGGGTGCCGGTGTGAACCCCCCGTACTCCACTGGGGTGCCGATGTGAACCACCCCATACTCCCCTGGGGTGCCGGTGTGAACCACCCCATACTCCCCTGGGGTGCCGGTGTGAACCACCCCATACTCCCCTGGGGTGCCGGTGTGAACCACCCCATACTCCCCTGGGGTGCCGGTGTGAACCCCCCGTACTCCACTGGGGTGCGGTTATGAACCACTGTAACCGTCACGACCTAGCTGAGCGGCCTGGGACACGTAACACGGCACCATAAATCTTGACGTCCACACACCCGGATGTTGAACCCACGTGATAGCCGCCCCGTCAGGTGATCTATGGAACGGCATGAATCAGTGCCACTTTCTGGAACCCGTCAAACACGCCTTAACAAAGCTTGTGAAATACGGACCTCGAACTTTGAACCGGTCAGCTCAACTGTAACCAAGAGGTCCGATACACTAGTTGATGGCTGAGGTGTAAGTAAAGACGGCTGGGCATGGTGCTGGTCATACTTTCGCTAAAGTAGGGGAACTCTGCTTCATCTGCTTGATGGACCGACAGGTTCGAAACGGTAATTATAAAATAGAAAATAAACAAAACACAAAAGCGATAGTAAAAAAAAAAATAAACCGTAAATAAATTCGATGTTGAAGCATTTGTACATTTTTTGTTGTCCCAATCTCCTTCAAGGTTGATGAATGTTATAATCGTTCCGTCGTCGCTGTTCTTAAGTTAATGGACAAGTTTTCTCCAGTTTTTGTTTTACTTTGACCACAAATAGACACGGCCCAGCGAGTTGTCTTTGTCTATGTTGCTTTGATTTCTTCTTATTAGGTTCTAGTCAGTCTTGTCCCAGCCATTAAGCGTGTGTCAACGTTAAATAAGTGAACTGTTTGAAGACTCAAGTTCTCCAGCCATTTAATGATACATTTAATCTTCCGGCTATTGCTTCTTTCCACACGATTCTGTTGGAGATGGGGGGGGGGGGGATTTTTTTTTCTTATAAAAAATGAAAATTTTCTTTGATATGGGGAAAATCTAACATTTACATTTGAAAACAGAAAATTGTGACAATTACGTCCCCTTGTTGGTCCAGAGTCCATTGAAGATTTGTGATTGGGCAAAGGGAGGGAACGCTTTTTAAAGAAAAGGATGCAATCCTGCAATTCTTTTTGAAAGTGTGATTGGGATGCTTTGGGGGAGATTGGGGGGGGGGGTGGAGCGGCGGCTCAATAGTTCAATATACAATTACCCGATAGCTTCAAAGGCAACACTGGAGAGAAAAATCTGTGTGAATAAAACGTGAGGCTGTTACAGCAATGATAGAATACTTCAATGGAGAGAATTTAATGGAAAGAGCCGGTGACTAAAGCGTTGCCATACGTCAAACTAAGATTTCACAACAAAACTTGAACCTAGATTCACTTTGTTTCCTGTTGAATTCAGTTGCTGTCTGTCTTCGGTCTTTGTTTTTAGTCTTCTATTTCCGCTCCTTTACTCCCGAATCTTACTTTTTAAATTGTTTCTAAACCACGTTCTCTATTTATTTTGGACTCGAATCGAGATTTAAGCAATGAAAATGATTGAAAATACAGCAACTTTAAAACCTCTTTTATTTTAAGCGTAGTTATCTCTCTCTCTCTCTCTCTTTTACACACACACACACACACCTCTCTCTCACACACACTCTCCTCTATCTCACTCCCTCTCTTGTCCATCTATCTATAAGCATCACTATAAAATACTGTTGTGTAAAAAAAAATGTAGCTGATATTTTTTCTATTCCAGAACTCAGAACGGGCTGTCATCATCGACTGAATCCCTGTTTCGGTGAGTATTTGTTTGTAGTTCTGGTGGGTGGTGTTGGTAGCTTTGGTGGGTGGTGTTGATGGCTTTGGTAGCTGGTGTTGGTAGTTCTGGTGGTGGTGTTGATGGCTTTGGTAGCTGGTGTTGGTAGTTCTGGTGGGTGGTGTTGGTAGCTGGTGTTGGTAGTTATTGTGGGTGGAGCTTTGGTGGAGTTGATTGTTATTAGCTGAGATAATGATGTATTGATGTTGGCATAGATGTTGATACGTTCAGCGGTCATAATGTTTTTGTGAAAATTTAACGCTTACCTGTCATCTAGGTAACACGGCGTCACCTCCCCCACCCCCCTGCCATTATTGGTTCTGTCATCCCACCCCTGTGAATATAGACCACGCCCTTTTTGTTTCCTCGCAGCTTCTTCGTAGGTGGTGACGAGAACCCCAAAAGGTCACTGACCCCTAGGTCACTGACCGACTCCTTTGACCACACCAAGAACGCCACGGTGGCCAAACAACGTGACGTCACAGCAGCGCGAGCACCCCTCGAATGGCAGCAAGGCTAAGCTCGTGGGTCGGACGATACTCCGGCGGCTCCCTCTGGTGGAGGGTCTGGTGAGGGAAGTTCAAGGTCAGGTCACAGGATGGGTCAAGTACCTGGAGGGTTTGGTCAGACACAGGTGTTGTCCACACGAACATAGCTGTCTCTCTTACGTCATCAAGGTGGGTTAGTAGTGTGGAGAGTTTGGGGGTCAGTAGTGTGGAGAGTTTTGGGGGGTTGGTAGTGTGGCAAGGGTTGGTGGGTCAGTAGTGTGGCAAGGTTGGTGGATCAGTAGTGTGGCGAGTTGAGGGTCAGTAGTATAGCTTGTCTTGCTCACTGAACAATCTTGAACACCATGGTCATTGTCTTATGGCCTTATGTTGTCACACTCGAGATTGCCCGATCATATGACCAACAGCTGCAGTGACACAAACTTGACATTACGTGACCAACCTTGACCTCTCAACCTGTGACAGACCTTGAACCAACCACCCACCTATCCGACCTTGACACCACGCGCCCCAGCACCCACAGCAATGGACTCAAAAACCAGTTGAAAGGAAGGCTGGTTGTACTCACGTCGTCGTTTGGTGTACCAGGCCTTTCTTGAGCTCACAGTGGTGGACTTAGACGTCATCGTCGTTTCATGCGGAGCATTATAAGGGCATACTGTCACTGTTTTATAAGGCATACTGGCACTGTCATATGAGGCAAACTGTCACTGTCATATGAGGGATGTTATTGTCATTTAAGGCATGCTGACATTCTCTCCTTGCTGTCATTTAAGACATTTTGTCATTGCATTTCTTGACATTCTGCCCACTGTCATTCAAGGGATATTGTCATTGCTATATTTAACTATCTCTAAGCATATACTAAACCATCCAGTAAAGTATTACGCTGACAGTTTTATTCCTCCACCCGTGCACCTTGCAAATGTTTTTTTTTTCCTTCATACATAAAAAAAACAACAACCCTACTTGTATTCCCTCACTCCTGCCCTCTTCATTATTCCACTACCGAATACCTTCGTCTAATCAGTTGTATTTGAAATGGTTAATTACAAATTTCTCGAGCTTTTCACCAGACCAGACCGGAAATGTGAGCGGTGCCTACTGGTGTCTGTCCTCTCTTCCATCTCTACAGCACCGCTCATACGCTCTTCTCACCTTTCTGGGATTTACCCCCCCCCCCCCCCCACCCCTCACCTTACCTCCCCCCCCCCCTTCTCCGTTGCCCTCATCAATCAAGTCTGACAAACCAGAAGCTTCTCCCCCCCCCCCCCTACCCCCCCCCCCCCCCCCCCCCCACCCTCTTCACCCTTCACGTCATCTCTGTGGCACCGGACGAATCTTTTAACAGAAGCAGATAGGGATGCCGGCCACTCAGCCAAACTGTCGCAACTGTACTCGCTTACCAACAGCGTTTTGGATCACTTGTGAATCCGCGCAAAAGAAAATATTGCAGACTTCAGATTTTTTTTGTCCATTCGTTTTGGCAGTTTACACCCCCCTCCCTTTCAACCACACAACACACCTCACGCACATACACACACCACCACATACACATAGCCTCCTACCTCACTCTGAAAGATGTTCGGCGTCTGCTTGTTTTAGAATTTGGCCACCGTTAGGTGGTTTTCAGGCGTTGCGGTGTTTTATGTTGTATTGTTTGTAACCCAGTGGCCTGTCAAACATTGATGTGGCATAAAGCACCATTAAACAGGGCCGCTAAGCACGGGCGCTTGCCAAACTTTGAGTTTACCAGCGAGTGCTTGAGTCACGAAACAGATGCGGCGTTCGAGTGTCGGCTCTTAAAAGTTTTTTTTTTTAACCAGCCAAGACACCCCCACCCCCCACCTTCAATTGGAGAAATAAATTCGTAATTACCTAAATTGCGCTTAGATTTTTTTTTATTTATAAATAATACTACTTTATAATGATAAAGCGATTTACGATTCTATTTTTTTTTAAATTTTATTTCGTCTGCAAAGAATAGATCTACGTAATAACGGCAATTAAAGATGATTGTTTTAAAATGGATTTCATTATTTATTTTCTTTGTTTGAGTTAGATAATCGTGTCATTTAAAGAAACTTTGATTT